TTACCCTGGCACTTAATGATTTTGTTCTTATGCTGACATCTAGACATCTGGATTTGGGGTGATTTCTAGGTTTATCTTGGTTGGATGGATATTTTTTCCTTGTTTTCTGTTTCATCTGTGGATTTTTGGAGAGTGTGGTGGTTGTGGGTTGCCTGTTTTACTGGCCTACTGAGCTGTTATGTTCAGAGTGAATTCCTCCTGGTGTTAGAGGTTGGGATACAGCAAAGAGTAGGGGGAGGAGTGACAGAGGGGGTATCTGTGGTATCCCCACATGTGGGCAGAGTAGGAAAGAGGCTAAACCTGGTGTTCTGTGTAGCACTTGGGGGTAAAAGTGAGGGATTGGTTCTTTCAAAAAGAGGGGGGAAGGTCTGTAGTCAGTCTACCTAATTTTCTGGTTTCTAGCTGTGGGTTGAGCAAGAAGGGCCTGCTTGGGTTTGGGACTGGGGTACAGTTACAAGTGTGGAGAGGGAATTTAGGAGCGGGTAATTTATGGTATCCACTAGAGATGTGGGCAGAGAGAAAGGGAGGCTGCAGTTGATGATCTTTTTCAAACCAAGGGATGACACTGAGGGATTTGGTCTGCAGGAACAGTGAGTGACAACCATTCTTGATTTGATTTATTAGTTTATTTCTCTACTTTCATTACTGAAATGTATTCAACATGAGCTTTTCTAGCTTTCTAGATCCTTTACAAATTCCTGATAATCTTTTCTTCAATTTTTTTTACAAAAATTCTTTTTCATAGTAAAAAGATGATATTCACATTTTTTAAATGGAATGGACTGTTTAAAGCATGAAAATACAAAGCAGTCTGATTTCTCTCCCACTCAGGCAAGACTGCTGTCCCTTGACTATTCTATGTATTTCTGAATTCCAGGGATGAGGGCATATTCTTTCTTCTAAATACTATATATACCTTTAACTCACCTAGAAAACAATCTTATTGACCACTTACAAGTTGATAGATATAGACTTTTCATTTTTTAAAAGTCTACATATATCTTATGGCTTCCTTCCTGTATATATAATGTGATCTCAAATGTAATGAATCAAAGAGTTTTATCTTTGTGCTAGAACTGTTCTTCTTACAATGTCTCAGCATCTATGAATGGTAGCTTCCCCCACTTGTACAGCTTTACCTTCACAGCTTGCACCTTTCTTTAATGAAGAAAATGTCCAGTGTCTCCCCCTTTTCTATCCCACAAAGCTCATTCTAAATGGTATATCCAGGTGACCATTTTAATAAGTATACAAGTTCTTGCCATTATCACATCTTGGTTCAGAAGCCTCTTCCAATGTTATTCACTGTGAAAAACATAAAAACTCTATAGAACATAGCTGTGGTGTGCTTGTTGACTGTTTTTTTCTCTGACTTAACCTTCTACTCCTAAAATCTTTAAGTTCTATGTTTCATGTTGCAAATCATCCTAGAATGTCTCTATATCATCATCTATAGGACTATATTCCTCTTGTCTAGAATACTTTCCAATAAACATCACAATGGTTCACATTGGTATTCCTTCCACTTAAACTCACAAGACAATGTGGGTTTGCTGTCCTACAGCCCCTTAAATGCCCTCTCCCAACTCTTCCTTTCTCTGAAGTACCATCAGTACTTTCTTGTCTATCTTGATTTCTGATACATGTTTTTAACAAACAGTGAAGGACTCTGATGAATATTTAATGAATGACCAAATACTTAAATTTTGAAAGTAGGTTTTACTTAGTAAAGTTCATGGAGAAAAAAAATGTCAGGAAAGCTATGTTATAAGAGAACAACATAAAAAGCCCATGGATGTTTGGAAATGGAAGTCTCAGAAGCATGAAAAATGGGTAAGACTATCCTTTATGAGTTCATACAAGTATGAACAAGGAAGCTCTAGGGATTGCTATGGCTGCAAGAGCTGATCATGGATGCAGAAGACTGAGGAGGTGATATTGAGTTAAGGCCAAACCAGGATCCACCAGTCTCCTACAATCTCTTCTAAGTATGTGTTTCTTCCTATAATCCACTACAAACCCCAAATTGGTAAAAAAAATTGTAAGGTCTTAATCAATATCACTCAAATTATTCAAAAAATAAGTAACAAGGTGAAAAGAATAATTAAAAACTTTGATCTTACTTTAAATGCCTCAATATTTAGGTAATTGGAGAGCTTGACAAACAATTTATAATCTAAAACTTAATAGAAGTAATTTTGAGAAACATTGCTTTAATATTTGTGTTCAATGACATTCAAAATTATCTAAATTAATTATGCAAGACACATACAAACTTATAAATATATATAAGTATAGAAAATATATAAATATATTATAAAAATATATAATATAGTATGTTATTAATATATTATGCATTAATATAGTATATCCTTTTATGTATAATATATACTATTTAATATATATTATATTATATATATATGTGTATGTTTCCTGCTGAGTTCATTTAGATGAATTATAATTAATTCCATTAATAATAATACTATAATATATAAATAATATATAATATATAAATATATTTAATATATACTATTATACAAAATAAGAGTCAATGAGGCTGTAGATTTAAGAGGGATGGATGTAATGGGGTAGATGGGATGGAGAGAGTTGGGGGAGAGGACATGTTAGGCATTGCACAGAGGAGAAAAAAGGGAAGAAGAAATGATATAGCAATATTTTAATAAAATTTTTAATTTGAATAAAGTAAACCTTAGATAATTATGACAGAATCTAAAAAAAAGACTTCCTTGGTGGAAATGTTTTGGGGAATTAAAATATTGAAGTGAATGTTTTTTTATTAGTATCAGAAATGTCACTATACTAATCTGACTATGAACTATTAAAGGATTAAAGACAACTGTTGAGACACTAGATGAACGCTATTGTGTTCCTATTGCAAAGCCCAAGAAAATACACTATGCCTGTTAATTTTCTTTAGCAGTTCTCTGATGTATTATAATCTGTTCTAATAGGCAAAATATTACTGTATAATTTGCAAATATCAAGAACAGAATGTAAATTAGTTATAGTTCTTCATCCTTCATCAGAAATATGTATTTAAATAACAAAGAATATGCATCATAAACAAAAGCCTTTAAGAGTCAGCTTCAAAGACTTTCTCTCAGGGTCCAAAGGAGACACTACATCAGCAGATGAACTATGATCTGAGGTATGAATCTGCTCACACCATGTTCTTTCTATCTGTGTCTCTTTATTGTTCTAAAAAATTCCACCTCTACAGTGAGGGTGGTGTCTGCTTATAAACATTTACAATTGACAATGCAATTCGAGACTTGAATTTCTCAGGGTCACCAAGGCAGGTAAGATTCACACACAGAGCAATAAATGTCAGCTTTAATTTACAGCACAAAATGGGAGTTGGTTAGTGAAGGCTCCTTGATGAGGTCAACCAGAGGTTAAATCAGCAAGGGAATCTAAGAGGAGAATTTGTGTGCTTAAAATACATTCCTAAGTGTGACTAAGTAATAAGCTAAAAATTTATAATCAGGGGCTGGAGAGATGGCTCAGCGGTTAAGAGCACTGGCTGTTCTTCTAGAGGTCCTGAGTTCAATTCCCAGCAACCACATGGTGGCTCACAACCATCTGTAATGAGATCTGGTGCCCTCCTCTGGCCTGAAGGCGTACACGCAGGCAAGGCACAACATTGTATACATAATTAATAAATAAATCTTTTAAAAAAAAATTTATAATCAGTAAAAGTTATAAATAAGATAAATACTGTCTTTTTCTCCAGGAACCACTTCCTAGTGGGCAGGGTTAGCATTCTGAATAACTAGACAACTTGTGTAAATAGTGGTGCAGTTTTCACCAGTGTTGGCTGGCTTAAAAGAAAGTCTCAGATTTAAAAGATTACACCTATTGATTAAGGATGTAGAACAAAGAGAGAATTTAAGCTTAATTTGCACAAGAAATATAACCTGGCACCTTCCAGCTGCTCTGGCTGAAGCAGCATAGGTCTTCAGCAGGTCTGTGGAAAAGTTTACTTTCCTTTGGGAAAGAGCAAGAAGCTGATTACCTTTCTCATTATTTTCTCAAGGTAAATGCAAGCAATAAATTTCAAAGCTAAAATCTTGTGTTAATAAACCTAAGTGGTAGTAAGTACAAGAAGTTAAGAAACTTTTAGTGTAAGGTTAGTTTAGTTCATCACTACTCTTATCTATAGGTGAGGTAAAAACCAGGGCACGCTTGTCCTCTATCTATCTAAGAGTCTATGAATCAACATTTTCAGACACGTAGTAACTGTGTGTCCTTGGTGTGTCTGGAAATGTCTCAAGTGAGACACTTTGGCCCAGACACTTAACACTGACCAAATGCCTGCCAATAAAAGTAACTGCAGAAAGGCAGATCTCTACATTTACATTGGAGAAAGAAACAAATTCCTGGTTGTGGGAAGCAGGTTTTTTGACTATGTGACTCTTTGCACACATAGTTAGGGAATGTTATCAATATAGCCCAAATGCGTAGAGGAAATTATACCCAATAGATCAGCAAAGACTTTTAAACCGTGGGAAATGAACCCCAAATTGTAACAGATGGGAATAAGCTATGACTTCTGTAGCAAGAAGTCTATAGCCAGAAACAAATTCATTCAAAGGCAATAACTCCAACTCACCTCGCGTGATGGCTCAGTCCTTTACCAGGACCCTTTGTTCTGATAAGTTGACCTTTATCAATGATGGCTGAATCCCTATTGCATAACCCTGCAGTTCCCAGCACATCATTAATTTCAGTGTTTTACTACATATAAGTTATCATCATTACAATGATAAATAATCTGCATATCAGGTTTATTAAGCATATAAATCTATTAATCAGGCTTCAATCTTCTTAGCATTATAATGTCGATGAGAGTACTATAATTTTATACATTATATATTCTTGATTCCAGATGTTTGTTACACATAAAAATGGCCACTTCTTGACAATATTGTGAAGAAATTAATTTTCCCCTGATTTATTTATTTCTCTTTTCCTTTCAGGAGTTGGAATTTTCAAATTTATTTGCTGTTCTTCACTGTATTCATTCATTTTTTGCTGCCAAAGTAGCTTGTTTGGACCCTCTGTTTTTAAGTAATAAGGCTGCTGCTTCTGCTGCTGACAGCTCTGCTTCTACAAGCAAAGCAAAGCATGTGGCTTGACATGCTGATTTCTACCTTAGAGTCCTCAGGGTCATTCCTCACTTCCACCCTGGGGAGACCACACTTTCACCAAGTCAACAGTGAAGTAAGACTGCAACCCCAGCAGAAGAAGGTCAGGAAGTATCTGCAGCATATCTTACCCTGTCAGGCATCTGCAAACAATGCTGGATAGGCAGAGCAGCCTATTCTTTCTCCTCTGATCTTTATCAGGACATAGATGACCCTATGTATGGTGACAAATGTTTGGTGTAAAGTATGTAAATAACATGAAAGTTGTAAGCTACCTATAAATAAAAATGCCAGTTAAATGATTATTTCTCTACTTTAGATTATTTTGTATGACAAATGCATAGTGGGCCAAAATCATGAACCAATGCCATATCATTGTGTTAAGAGTGTAAAGAAGCTTAAAAAAAATGAAAGCAAGGCAAGTAGCATGCAAAAAAAATAATAATGAAGTTAAGACATCAGAAACAGAAGTACCTTAACTTATCCATGTGAGCTACTCCCTGTGTCCCCATCCTCTGGTTCCACATGAGCACTCCAGTTATGTTTACCTGATTTTAAATATTATGCAGAATAAACAAAGACAATTATATTGGTCTGTGAAAACACACTAGGAAATTAAACATTTTTTCTTGGGTGAATGTTACAAAATTATTTTATATTAGCAAATGGTACTAGTCATGAATGGCCAAAATACTCATGACTCTCCTGTTCTTCATTTAAACACATTTATTCTTATTTTTTTCCTAATGAGATTTATGAACAAACTAAACTTTCATAAATTTAAGTGACCCAAAGCTCTTGCAAAGAAAATCATATCAACAAAACCTATGTAAGAAATAAGACTTTGCAATCCTTTTCTATTTAATCAAGAATTGAAAAGTTCCTGAAAAGTAGCCACAGACCTTTTGAGAGCTGGTGATGTTTTCATTTGAGTATATTTGTGAGTAAATTAAGTGAGATTTAAAAACAAAATTCAAAATACATGCCATAGAATGCCATGGAGAGTGATCAAGTAGTTTCAAATGATTAGGCCACTGTAGTTAGCTTGTGTTAGCATTAGAAAAGTGAAAGGACAGAAATTTGCCGTGCGGAGGTATATAATCTCAGCTGAGAATCGGATCTTGGTAGTCATACAAAGCAGGAAGCATTCTCTGGTCCTCATCTAAGGCTCTCTAGGTGTCTTCTTTTAAATAACTGGCTACTTATTGAAAGGTAAGTGTAAAGTACATTTCTATTTGTACACATTACAATTGAACATTTTTCTATCCCTTTTTAAATGACCAAGTTTCTAATAGGGAGTTCAATATTGTTCCCTTAAATAGAAGAAAATCTCACATAAGACTTGAGAGGAAAACAAAAGTATTTGTTTAGAGGAACATATGTCCATGAAAGTAAAGTCAACAAATAGTAAGCAATTTTTATAATCATTAGAAATATTAATTCATTTTGCATCAGGTCAAGTGAAATCTCATAATGAGATCTGAAAAATGTAAGGTTAGGTCTTAGATGACTTTCCAGAGGAATAGAAAAAATTAATAATAAATGTTTACAAATTCAGTCTTTATAATAAATTTCAATGCTTACTATATCCACCAAACACAAAAGCTATTGTAAAATTTGAATATCACCAAAATCTGAGTTCTGACTTTCTACCATAAAGTCGAAAGAGTAAAGACTGACAAACCTTACTATCTCTTCTGAAACCTCTGCTACTGAGCATGGAGTAGCCACAGGGTGACCTGTTCTGTAGTGCATGTGAAATGTGACTGTCATCTAAAAGTAAAATAAATTAGAAATAGCCTGGGATTTAAAACTATACAAAAGTCTTCTGTAATCATTTAACATATTTTAGGGGACTGGAGAGATGACTTAGTGGTTAAGGGTTATTATTGCTCTTTCAGAACACGGGTTTGGTTCCAGCATCCACACAGTGACTCACAACCATCTGTAACTAAACCTCCAAGGGTTTTGATGCCTTCTTTTGAAGTCAGTAGCTAGGCATGCGTGTGGTGCATAGACATACATACACCACATTTTTAAAAAAGTAGATTTTACAAAATTCATTTAAACATACAAAAATGTCCTTTTTGTTGTTACATCAAATATTCTACCAGTGATCACATTGAAGAAAACAGCAAATGTATGAGATGAGATCTCTGAGTACAGACACATAAATGTATAGAGACAAGTATAAAATGTTGAGCTTAATTATAATGAAAGAAAATGTTTCACATACATATATAGCATAATTTGAATTCAGCCATAAAGTGTTGCTTGAATTAAAACATATTGTTACTTTTTATAACATTGATTAAAATAGCACCATGCTGAAATTGTTGTTTAACATGATAGTGGCCCAAGCACCAATTAGGAAAATACTGTTCTGATTTTCATCAGTTTAACAGTTAGTGTCTTATGCTTTCTTTATACTGTTATTAAACATTGTTATTTGCTGTTGTGGCTTGGACTACTTGAATGAGAAAGTCTGGAAATTAATCAAAACACAGATTTCAGTTTCACAGCAACTTAGGTTCAGATACAGAATTTTTTTTCAAAAACCCAAGTTTGTGTATTAAACACATATGAGAATGCTTAATGATGTGTTAATCCTCTAATGCCTTGGTGGATGCATACTCATATACATGTATTTGGGGAGAAATTAAAGGGCATATTAAAGTGTACAAGCTTGAAGAGAAATGTAGTTATTGTGAGTTAGAAACAGGAGTTTAAAATCATTTGAAAACTGCTAAGATAAGAAGGTCTTTTATGTGATAAAAATAAAAAATCAACTGAACTAAAATATATTAAAGCAGGGGCATTTGAATTTCTTATAGTGCAACTTCAAAAACACATTAATTGATGATTTAAGTACAATAAATCCCCAATACTTCCCATCTAATCTTATTTTAAAGAGTGGGCTGAGCTAATAATTTCTCACCCATATTTCAGGCATAAACTGACTTGTTTTAAAGATATAAAAATCACCCAGCAAGAAGAAAGACAATTAATGCCAAGTCAATATTGGCAGACAGAGAAAACACTTCCATATAGACAGTGTGGTTTTCTTCTGGACACATTAGCTGATGAATCCACATACCCCTTATTTATGGTGACAAAGATTGTTCATAGTATCGTCCATGTAGAATGCTGGCATAATTGAAGCTTGGTTTATCACAGAGGAAAACTGATTCTTAGCAATCACTTTACTTCACTGTTTCAAACCAGAAGTGTGGAGAAGTGTTCCCAATCTAAAGACAAGCTTATACTTAACTCTGCAAGGTAAGTGTCCATGTTCCAACTTAATGATAAACATTTCACTCCTGTAGGTATTGATCATAAGCTTAAGGACTCTCTTGATGAGTATCTCTAGAATCATTGATGATATTTTGTTCTGACTCCTTAATACTTAAATTCATGTCACTTTACATTATAGCTTACCCTTAATGATAAATAAAATATTATAAATGTTATATATTTTATACATATTACAATGTAGTGACATAGAAAGAAAAAATGTAAATATCTTTATTTCCTATTTAAATGTTTGGTGTATATTTCTAAAATGTAAATTCAGATCTGTGACAACTTGCCACTTTCTCTTTGAGTTCATCAATGACTTCTTACAAAAAAAAAGCAAACAGAAAAACCTTTTTTAATGAAGCATATTAAAAAATAAAAATAGAAGCTTTTACTACTTCCAATTTTGTATCATTTGTCTGGCTTTGATCTGTAAGTTTCAAAGAAGTTTAATCTATAATCCTGACAGAATGAATTTGAATGTAAAAGGAAAAATCTGATCTCTCTACTAGAAGTACAAACCAGAAACACAATCTGTTCTGGCTCATTAATATTCATGAACATTTGGTGTCCGACCTCTGAAAGACAGCAAAGACATAAGGAAGGTGCTATTTGTGAAATTACTTAACCAACCAAAAAGTTGCAGCTTTTGAAAGCATTACAACTTTGATATCTATATAGTGGTCCATTAGAAACAAGATCTATATTGAGAATCTAGGCCAAAGACATTATTATCTTATCACTAATAATTAAGGAGCAATTACTGAGGTATAATGTGCCTTCTCTTAAAGCCATAATTGTTATTCATGTGATCACAGCATCATAAGAGCATGCTCACAAGAATCTCTTCCAAACAATCCCAATGGTCCTTGTTACTAAATGAACTCTAAAACCTTTACAGCTTGTTGCTGTTGTTCCATCTTTTTCAGTTTAAAAACCAGGAAGAAATTTAGACATCCTATAAAAAAAATAGTAAATACCCATCATGTATAATTCCAATAACTGAAGTGAATACAAAAAAAAAGAAATAGTAAGTCTTAACACCACTAAAATAAACAGAATCCATTTTAGATGAATGTTGCTCAACCCATCATTGTCCACACAGAAATAAATGAAGAATTTTAAGTTGATATACAAACAAGTGCATCAAGTATCTTTATAAAAACAATTGGGTTGGTGTAGTAATTTAGCAGTGCAGTGCTGATGTAGCATGAATAATGTCATTGGTTCTCTCCCTAGTGCAGCAAATAATAATTGTAATTAATATAACAACAAAATACTCCAGGATTTTAAGAAATGCAATGGGAAACAGTTATTCAGAGAAAATATATGAACAAAATTAACGTAATATATATGCTATCTTTTAAAAGTATTTTATTAATCTTTAAGGATTGCTTCCACTATATTTTTATCATATTCAGTCTCTCTTTTCAACTCCTCCATGATCCACTGCCACCTCTCTACAAAGTCATCATTTGGGAGGGGGAGGGGCCAGAGTGACAATCTCCTGGAGCATGATTGACCTACAAGGATTGTACCCTTAAAGAAAACTAATTCCACCTTTCCCATCATCTGTTAATTGTCAATAGCTCCTCAGATAGGGGTAAAGTTGTGCATGGTGTCACAGTCCTTGTGAGTTCATATGTGCTACTGTCCTGTTGTGTTAGGTAAAGGGTTTCTTTGTAGTTATCTACCACCTGTGGCTCTTATAAACTGTCATGCCTGGGAATTGAGAAACAAGCATATGATATAGATGTTCAATTTGTATCTAATAGCTTTTATCTTGATTAACAACTATAATATATTTGCTTCTTGGAATTTATGCTTTTCCAAAGAGAAGGAGATATAAACAAAGGTGGAGGTATACATGTATTTGAAAGAGGCAGATGTTATAAAGAACTTTAATTAAAGCTTTTGTTTCAAAATAAGTTCTTTGACTTTTGATAAATGAATATGGCTCTGTAACATCACCAAGATTAGTATTTAAAACAACCTCTCCCTCCCCG